GTATCATGTAGGTGAATGAGTTACATTGGTTGTGTCATTGATTTCGTCCTTCCTTAATCATTGATTTTGTCCTTGCTTAATTCCACAGGTTCATCAAAGGCTTCATCCTGCGCAATGAGCCTCGTTGCCTTGACAATGCGTACTTCTTGGACCATGTGAGATTCTCCTTCTTGATGAAAGTGAAACGAAATCTGCCAAAAAGAGTGCTTGACAAGAGCTGGCCAAGACCACCGCCCTCACTCACTGAGGTATGATAATAATATATGGTAAAGGTATGATAAGGTATGATACTAAATTGAACCACTGAGCTCTGTTTGGTCAGACCAACTGGAGATTGAACAAATCAGTGTTTTGAGGATGTAGTTGTGGTTACACTAATGTTCAAAATGAATCTTTTTACTATTCAGCAAGGATGCGTTAAATATATGTATTTGAACTAAACATAAAACAAACAAAAAAACGTAATTTTTTCAACATTGATAATAATGAGATGTTTCTTGCGCACCAAATCAGGATATTAGAATGATTTCTGAAGGATCATGTGACACTGAAGACTGGAATAATGGCTGCTGAAAATTCAGCTTTGCCATCACAGGAATAAATGACATCTTAAAATATATTAGAATACAAAGTTATTTTATATTATAATTATATAACAGATTGTATAAAAGACTTATTTCAAAAACATTTTTAAAAATCCCCCCAAAATTCTGAATGATAGTGTATGTACAACTTTTTGTTTTCCCCTGCAGGCATCTGAGCACCTTCACAGGATGTGCATTCGCAACCTGGTCAATGACTACTGCAGGAGAATCCAGCCAGAGTGGAAGAAGCAGGTACTGCATTCATACAAGAGCAAACACACACACACATACATGGACAGACATAACTCATTTCATACTGTCTGCAGTTGGAACAGAAGGTTGTAGCCAGTGCGATCTTTAGGGGCCAGAAGGACTGCTACCCTCGAAGTGTTCCCAAACTCTTTGTAGCCACCAGGCTAGGTAATATTCACACACACACATGAAAAATGTCTTTGCTGAAAAACACACATACATACACGAACAAATACAGAAACTGACACATTTTTATTACCACAGAAGCTGAAGAGATCAATCTCAAAGTGCTGCAAACTCTTGGGAATGACAACAAGGTGAAGGTAAGTGTGTTTTTATACATTTGTGTGAAAATAAAGCTGAATGTTTGTGTGTATTCCATCGAAATGTACTATGCGGTGACCATTAAAAACATAGTGAAGTCCTTAGTCACTTCTAGGACCCACTGGGAAGTTTTTAATGCTACTTTGTTTGGTAACAAGGTTCCATTGTAGTGTTCATTAAAGTCCACAATGAATGAGGTTAAGTTGAAGTTTGTTTATTCATTTTGAATGTTACAGTATTTGAAATAAACTGATGTAACCTACAATATAAACTGCAAAGACATTTTGAACTGTAAATGAAAAAAGATCTAAAGATCACACACATGCTTCCAGCAGAACAAGCCATCTCAACACCTGAGGCTTCATCCTGTTGTTTCTCCTGTAGAGGGTGCACACAGACTCCAGAAAAAAAAAACATTAGACAATATGGACAAAAAAATAAAATAAAAAGTATAAATGGCTCCTGCAGATCCACCTTACCACAAAACAATGGCCAGTATTTATCATTTTTATGTTAATATTAGAGGGGTTGCGAATATTATTGTATATTCTTTTCTTTTTCAGTATGGTGTAGCGGTCACTAAGTACGATCGCCATGGTTTCCGCGCTCGTATGCGTCAGCTGCTGTTGACCGCTTCATCTGCTGTGCTGGTCCAGGAAGCAAAAATCAAACAACGTATCGACTACGGCACATTGCTGGGTAATGTTACTGTAATAAAGATCTCTCCATTGTTGCCTAACAATACTGTACTACAACCAAGCTTATTAAAGTTTCATACTCCTGTTTTTCACCGTATCTAATTCTTGGGTAATCATACCCTTCCCTAGTACTCAACCCATAAATTCTCATCTGTGACACACAACCAGTGCTCCATTAATCTCTTTCTGGGTAACACTTCACACAATACTATACAATCTTGGTTTGTTTCTTTTTGTAGGTATCTCTCTTAGTTCCCTCAGTGATGGATTCTTTGTTTTGCATATTCCTTCCACTGACAGTAAGCAGAAGGTGAGAGAAGCACTGTTATGATTTGTGATTGTATTGGTTGTGCAGTTGTTTCACTTTGACTTTCTGATCTTTAGGGTGACCTGATGCTGCAATGCGATCATGTGATTGAGGCTGTCACCAAGCTGGCCATCATGGCAGACAAGATACACAATGTCAACATCAGCCAGGACAGGTGTGTGTGCGTGTGCGTGTGCGCGTGCGCGTGCGCGTGTGCGTGCACACACAGAGGCAAATCCAGTAATAGACCTGTAATAGTGTTTGGGAGTGGTGGTGATGTTCTCTAGAAAAGCATGAGCACCGTCCCTGCATACATCTTACTTCATTTCTCTGACGATCTGAAATTTTCTTGATGTGTTGAAAGTTGCATACTTTGTGGGTTTTCAATCCAGGATCCCTTGAATAGCAAAATTCTGTCTACATCACCAAGTCTTGTGCTATTTTTTTTATACACTACCATTCAAAAGTTTGGGGTTAGTAAGATTTTCTTTTTTAAATAAAGAAATTAATACTTTATTCAGCAAGGATACATTAAATTGATGAGAAGTGACTGTAAAGAATTTATAATGTTACAAAGGATTTTTATATAAAATAAATACTTTTTACTTTCTATTAATCATAGAATCCTAAAAAATACAATAATGGTTTCCACACAAATATTAAGTAGCACAGCTGTTCTCAACATTTATAATAATAATGAATGTTTTTGGGCACTAAATCATCATATTAGAATGATTTCTGAAGGATCATGTGACACTGAGCTGTAGTGGCTTTTCCATCATAGGATCAGTTACATTACTGTGTCTTTGAACAAATAAATGCAGCCTTGGTGAGCATAAGAGGCTTCTCAAAAACACTGGAAAAAATCGTACCAGCCACAAACTTTTGAACAGAAGTGTGTATATTTTTATCTTTGTGTTTTCATTGTATTTGTATTTAATTTTAGTTTAGTTTACAGCAAGTATATGTACAGTATATGCATGTTTACAGTTTTCAATCTGATGAAGCTTTACTCTCCAGTATCAGGTTTGCCATAGCGAGGGGAAAGGAGGGAGTGATAGATTTCACCAGTGGTTCGGACCTGCGAGTTGTCAAGACCAAGAATGGACACTTGTCTGTGGTGAGAATCACACATTTACTTACAAAGAAATACAGGGCTGAAGAATGCAGTGGTTTTGGTTAGAAGGGTAGAGAAACAAAAAAGTTTATAAGAGTTTGGCAGAAAAAAAAGCAGGTAATGGGATTTAAGGAGGAGAGTTCAGAGGGGTTAAAATAAAATGGATTATTTTGCAAATGTTGTTTTCAAGTAAACATGATTACCCTGGTCTCTCTTTTCCAGACCACCCCACGAATCTCATGAACAGCCAATGACAGCTCACCAGCAGCAGACAGATCATTTCACAGGAGTGGTTTAGCCAATCACTACACAGAGCCAGACTACCCTTTTATGATTCATTTCAGTCTCACTCCAAAAGCACGTTAGCATGCTAGCAAGTGTATGTTAAAGGACATTTGCAATCTTTTTTTTCTGAATACTGAATTTAGATTATGCTTTAATGAAGATTTTGAATTAAATGAGTTCATTTTGTATTTTCTCTCATCTGACCAATTAAATTAATCTTTGTTTTTTCAGTTATGTTAATAATTCAAGCTTTACTATGAAGATATACTACAGAGTATTTTTAAGAGTTCTTATTAACTAGATGATCTTTTAAAATTTAAATACAAAAGCATAGTGCTTTACAAATAACACCAGTACTTATCAACGCAATGTTTTATAACTCAATTGTTATTGAATAATTTGGAAAAAAAAAAAGATTAAATGCATTATATTTAATGTGTTATTTTTGGTTTGCTTTATTAAATCTCTAAGACTTCAGACAGATGCAAAAAAATCTTGCTTTTTCAGGTGTTTTGAAATGGAGATCAGTCACAACATGTCTGCAAGTGTTCAGTATGACTTCACTTACCATCTGTTGTATGTAAAAAAAATAAAAAAAATAAAAAACTCACACAAATACACATGCACTACAAGTGATTCTTAGTCATTTTATTCAGTACATATACTGAAGTACATATGCACTTATTTATGAACAATAAATATCGTATGAAAAATATTTGGCACATATTTCACATAAATAAAATAAATAATTTAATAAATAAGACAAGGTGGAAAGTACAGGGGAATGAAAACAAAAAGGGGATGTAAAATTAATCTCATTCTGACCTCTGATTCGCTGATTATCAGTGGAGGAGGGAAGTGGGGTGTTTGGGGAATTTCGATCTTCCAGAATGGCTGACTAACCCTTTCTTTGTTTCAGTTAAATTGTCCAATATAAACAAAAGAATTTGCCGTTTGTTACGTGCTTACCCTTCAAACAGCCATATACATTCAAGTAATAATTTTATTAACTAAAAATACTTCGTGGTCAAACAACACTGCTTGGCAATTTCATAACCTACAATAGCTGCCTGCTGATGTGCTCACCCCCCTGAGACTTATCCCATACGTGGAAAATGCTCCAAATACTTAAATATAAAATACAGAAATGCAGTTTAAAAAAAAAAGTCTTCACACATTAAGGCAAATATCTGTTCAATTACTTGTAAACAAACAGTAAATAAAAAAACTAGTAATTATTTTCATAAAATAATTACTGAGCAAGGTAAACAGAAACTGTGACATGAAAATGTTTAAGGATATGAATGTTAGTGTATTCAATTATGTATTTCCTTAGTTTTGTTTTATAATTCAATCCTGTGTAATACTTGTGCAATACTTTTTTTTTTTTTCTTTTTTCCCCCCAGCTTTGTTGATTTGCTTATGCATGTTTGTCAGTGTTTAGCTTGGAGCACAGCATAATCTCGTGCCAATCTGCTCAAGTACCGTTCCAGATCTCTCAGTATCACATACCCTCTCAGATGCTGAATCCAACGGGACGTCTCTGCTTATATAATTCATATCTGACACGTGGCTGAATCCCTGGCTTTAGAATATTACATAATTATTGTAATATTCTAATAATATTAGTAATATTCTAATGTAATATTATTATTTAGAAGTATTAAAACAAATAGAATAAAGAAGTGGAATTTATATAGCCAACCAGTTAAAAAATGATCACACAGAGATCACAAGACATACCAGACAAATATGACTAAACACTAGGCTACATTCCAAAGTCTTTAATGTTAGTATTCTTAGATTTAAATATATCACAAATAGTTTCTATATACCCTAAAAAAATCCCCTTGGGGTTTTTGTAGATATTCTGGCAAGAGCCCCCTTGTTTTGCAACTTAAAGGGGTCATGATGCGTTGCTCAGGCGAGTTGTGACATTGTGTCACCGAATTACCTACTGTTGGCTGGGAAGTGATTACGTATCTAACAAGTGTGCACGTGTACCTGAGAGTTGACTTGTTTCATTAAGTCCCGCAGATCTATTTGCAGACTAACAAAACGTTGGCACAAATTGGGCTGAGGCTTTCCTCGTTTGCCTCTTCTCTGCTCTCCTCTTTCTTTCGTCGCATCCTTCTCTCTCTCCAGCTGCTGCCGTTGACCTTCCAGGTGAGTCCAGAAGGTTTGGAGGTTGTGAGAGGCCAAATGCAAACGCTCATTGTCCTGACCAATACAAATACTATTAGAAAATATTGTCATGCAGTAAAATAACTAAATACGTGATAAAGATATGATGCGCACCTACCTGCATGTGTAGCCAGGTCCGATAACTCACAGTGACCGCTGGAAGTGTGCTCAACATCAGCTCTCTGTATTCAAAGAGCTCGTCACCAAACAGCTGCTGTTTCTGTGAACAAACAAAAAAAACACCGCATTGTATTAACATGTAGATACAAACTGGATAATAATATTGTCGTTAATATGTTACGGTTTCTATGCAAACAGTGTTTCGTTATCTTACGTAGCGAGACAGCACTTGTTGGACACGTGCGCGAATAGCGCGAGTGAGGCGCAGTGAATTGGAGAAGGACAGCGCTCCCCTGTGGCCAAGAGGGGAGGAGGACATTGTAGACACCATACAGATGAGGATGAGGATGAGGATGCAAAGAGGAGTCAGACACCGCCGAAACATCTGGGAGAATGGAGAGTGAAACTGTCCGATCATTCAAAGTAGTGGTAGGCCTACCTTCAATATTATGCAGATACAATGATGTATCATAAAACACGGGCTATCACAGTTTCATCCGCCAACGTGTTTATTAATCAAATTTCACGTCAGAGATCAACCTCAGTCAGGCACGGCGCCAGATTTTTTTCTCTACCGGTGCTAAGGGGGGGGGGCTAGACTATGGTACACACCATATTGAACAGAAGTGTAGTTTTAATTTATATTTTGCCAACGAATAGGCAAATTCATCAAAATAGATATAATGCATGTTTGTCAGTGTTTAGCTTGGAGCACAGCATAATCTCGTGCCAATCTGCTCAAGTACCGTTCCAGATCTCTCAGTATCACATACCCTCTCAGATGCTGAATCCAACGGGACGTCTCTGCTGTTGTTGTCTGCTGGGTATCCATAGATAGCTGGCTTCCCGTGAAAATAGAGGCTGCTGATGCCTGGGTGGGTTGTAGGAGGCTGACGGAGGTCTCCTCCATCGTTGAAGTAGAGGAGTGTGTGGAACTGCGAGGATTATTCATCTGAGTTGGGGTCTGGAGTACAGTGGTGCTCTCTGTGGAATGATGCATGCTGGGAATCGGACTGGAAGATGAAGTTGAGTGTAGGGTATGGAGAAGTGTGGACCTTGTGGATGCAGTGACACTCAGACTGTTTAACTGCAGATAGACAGAGAGAAAGCATTAGTGATCTGCATGATTAAGCATCATTTAATCTGTCAGCATGTTGCTTTTGTTCCAAAACGCTAGATTTTCTTGGTAACACACATAATAACTCTACTTAGTAGAGTATA